AAGACAGAGAAAAAAAATAAAGAGAGAGAGAGAGCAATACTAGATTGATCTTCTTCATTGGAGTGCTTTGAGTCATCAGAGATGAATTTGAGTTAGGAGAGTCTTGAGACAATAACTTCGACCTACATGGCACTATCATTGGAGTAAGGAAGGTCACCAGAGTTAGGAATGTAGTCAGAGTTGTCTTTGTCATTTGGCTAAAATGGTTGTTGGTTTAAGGAGAAAAGAGGGTGATCTAAGACTTGAGAGATTTTGGAAAATTTTAACCTAGGGCTTCTGTGATTTGGGAAAGTTGAAATTGATTTTATTCGTAAAAATGACAATTTATACGAATAAAATTAATATCTTTTTTATGTTTAAAATAACTATGTTAAGAAATGACTTAAAAAAACACTTTAAAAATGTCACTTGCAATGATGTTTTTAAAAACGTCACTTATAATGATGTTTTTATAAGTTAATATGTCATATTTTGTCTAAGTTTAAGTTGGTCGTTCCCTCTTAAAAACGTCATTTCAAATCGTGAAGGTATTATTTCAAATGACCTTTTATAAAAAAAAATATTGGATTTGAGAAATAAGTTTAAAAGTGACTCATTTTGAGAAATAAGAATTTGAGGGAAATGGGTATGGTATAAAGCTATGAGATCCTTGCCTTCCTTTCTTTCGCTCACAATTGACTCAGTCCTTCTTAGGGTGCACTTGATTCGTGTTTTTGTGTTGATATTTTTTGTTTTTGTTTTCACTTTTTACAAAAAAATAAAATAATAGCAACATGTTTGGATTGTGCTTTTGTTCTTTTTAAGCTAAATTGTTTTTTGAAAATAAGGTCTAAAACGGGGAAAAATATTCAATAAAACAATGATACTATGTTAGCTTTGATGATACGATATCACCAACTAATAATAAAACATCAAATGGGCAAAGTGAACCTCACTTAGGTAGTTCTTGACTTACATGAAAGAAGAGTAAGTAATTATCTACTTATGTGGACGTGTAGTTATTTACTTATGTGAGGTCCATTTCCCTATTTGTCTGTATATTATTGGTTAGTGATACTAAGTAGCAATATTGATATGATATCATCGTTGCAATATGTATTTTTTTCGGGTGCGTTTGGTTAGAAAGAAAAGAATGGTGAAAAGTGAAAGTCGTAAAAAAAAAGTGAAAGGAAAGAAAAAGAAAAGAAAATATATTTTCTTTCATGTATTTGGTTAGCATGAATTTTTTTAAAAAAATTCATTATATAGTTTGAAAGGTAGTAAAGTTGATAGAAAATATTGAAAATTGTCTAAAATATTCTTATCTATATTGAATGAGATGTTGAACTTGAAAGACTGTGCATTTATCTACCTTTTATGATAAAATAAATAACTATCAAATATTATTAATATAGAAACAATGCATGGTTGACACATCACCATTTTTATCTCATTAAATAGAGATGTTAAAATTTAGAAAGTGAAGTGAAAGAAAATAAAATAAGAGAAAAAATATATTTTCATACATGTATTTATTTAACATGAAAAACTTGTAATAATTTAAAAAAAAATCATTTTATTGTTTAAAAGAAAAGAAAGATATAAGAAAATTTATTTAATTGTCTAAATTATCCTTAATTATATTAAATTAATCTAAAAAAAATTATAATTAAATTATCCTTAATTATATTAAATCAAGTTTAACTTTGTTGAAGACTTTTTGTTTTTTAGTTCCGTAGTTAATGCTGTTGTCCAATTTGATTTTCATATATGAGAAATGATAAGAGATGAAAATAGGCAAAAAGGTCAAGTGAGGGCAATACCCCACATTTTTACGGGAAAAAAAATTTAGTGTCCTATACAAGAAAAATTAGTGGCCTGACGATCTCACTTTCATGTATTTTTTTCCCCTTTTTATTTTGCTAAACAAATAAGAAAAGAATTCTATTTTTTCTCCATTCTTATATTTTCAAGTATTTACTTACTAACCAAACAAATTTTAAAACTGCAAACAAAAAAAGATATTTTCAAAAGAAAAATAATACATAACCTAAATAAAACTTAATAGTTAAAATTTAAATATATATTATCCTTTAAATGAATGTGACATAAATAGACTTCATTAAAAAAATTTGACAAAACTTACTAATTTAAAATATGATATACATTTAAATTACAACTTTTTAGATTTCATTTTTTTTCTACCGTTTCTCTTTCCAGAAAAACCAAAACCAGCGCGCGGTAGCGGGGACTTTAACGAGGTCCCCAATCGAACCCCATTAACACCGAAATGAAAGTTTTTTTTGTTGAAATATTAATCCCCTCTTTTCTTTCTCAATATATTCTCTCTCTCTCTCTCTCTCTCTCTCTCTTCTCGCTTCTCTCTCTTCAATCTCTGCGTTTTGTCTCCTCTCCCTGGTAATCTGCTGCACCTTCGTCACTCCAAATCAAGTTTCGAAAGTTCACTCTGTGCTAAAGGTACGTTGCATCCTTCTTCGATTTCAATTTTCTCTCTTCGAACAAAGCACCCCTAGGTCAGATCTGTGCGTAGGTCGACATATTTATATATGCAAATACATACATATGTATACATGCAGTCAATTTGTATACACATACATATATCTATACATTGATTTGTATATACATAGATCTGAATTTTTTTGTTTGTTTGTGCTAATTAAGGTTTCTAATTAGGGTCTCTAGTTTTGTGGTTGGGTGGGTCTGTATGTGTGTGTATGTGCGCACGTCTCTGTGGGTGTGGATCTCTGTGTGTGCCTATGTGTATGCGCCTGTGTGTGTGTGTGGGGGGGGGGGTGTGTGTGTGGTTTAGGATGATTTGAGATATTGCATATCACAGTAGAATTAGGATTATTATGATTATTTGGGATATTGCATTCGGTTTGGAGCTGCAATATTTTCAAGGAATCACTTACCATTTGTGTCTAATTTTTTGCACGCACTTTTTCAATCCAAAGAAATTTTGAGTTGATCTTGTGCGAAGAGATGAAGCAAAGATACTCAAAGCAATTTGGGTCTCTAGTTGTACAAACAAAAATTCATTATCCCCTGTGGATGCAGACTTTTGTATAAGTTGGGAGTTGGGACAGCTTGTGAGCCTCCAAGCAAAAGATTTAAGTGATAAAGTACTAGTGCGGATCATGTCTATAGTTTGGTGTGTTGATGGATGTTTATAGTTTGGTGTGTAGATGAAAAATGGTGTTTTGAAAAGTTATGGATCTGAAGATGAAGGAAGAGGAAAGTTTGGTGTGTTGATGGATGTATTGTGACATTGAATTTTGATTAGTTTTCTAGCGAGTTATTAATATAAAGCTACTAAATATGACATAAATTACAGTGGTTACTTTTTTGTTTTATGTTTTTATTTTCAGAGTTTCGTAAACAAAAATTGCAACCAAACAAGTTTCTATTTCAACTTTTTATCACTTAAAAAAAAATTTGTTTCTATATTTATATTTTTTGAAAATAGAAAATAGAAAACGTTACCAAACGGTAACCTCTCCAAAATTTTCGATCTCTCATTCCTACCTGAACACATTCTTCTTGAGCTCTTTCTGGTACACATTCAAACTCCCCTTATATCTCTCCTCTAGATTTGTATATGCTTGTGAATTCACATTTTATATACTTGGTATGAGTTTTTTGTCTTTAGAATTTTGAGTTGTCCTTTTTGCTTTTGTGGATCTTGAAATCAGGGTTTAGTAGTGAATGACATGGTAGAACGTCTGAGAGAATCGTTACTTTAGATTGAACACTCTGTCCTTGCTCTAGGGTGATTTGTATTTTCTAAAATCTTGATACTTGGTCATATGTTTTGGGATTTTTTTTTCGGGGCTAGTTTAATCATTAGATTAGGCTTGAGATTAAGACAAAGGCATGCCTGGTTGGACTTTTTACTTGCTTTTTTTTTGATTGAAGATGCATATATGGGGGTAGGCTTGGGGAGGGAGGTAGGGAGGGAGGGAGAGAGAGAGAGAGATGATGATGAATTTGAACATCTATGCTAGAGGGTAAAGTTTGTTGGTTTCTCACCCTCACGAGAAAAATCCAAGCATTTACCCTAACACTAGGCAAACTACTTCTTCCAAAGAGAAAAAAACAACTAGTTTTATATTTTTAGCTGTATGAAATTGTTGTATTTATTTGTTCGAAGCTAGAGCATTGTCTTGCCGCTTATCCAATTTGTATGCTATCCTCTTGTGACATGTATGTAGGAAAACATAGGGAACTATACGCATTATTTGGTATGTGTTTTGTTTCTCAACTTCTGGGTTTCCTTTGGGTGTGCTAAAATTAAGGATCAAAATATCATTTTGAAACAGTCGAAACATCTGAAACGTTTCCATTTCCAAGAAAACCGAAATGAATTAGTGACGGAATCGAAATTCTAATATTTCGAGGTATTTCATGATGTTTCGAAATGTTTTGTTATATTTCAATACATTTACACAATTATTTCAGAATGTTTTAAGGTATTTTAATATAATTCGATCAATATTTTGAAAAAAATAATGTTTAAATTTTTTATTTTTTCATTTTGTTTTCGAAACGGGTCGAAATGTTTTTGAAATACGTTGAAACATTTCCGTTTTCTAGGTGATTGAAACAATGCACCGAAACAAAATTTTAATCATTGGCTAAAATATCCACGATAATTATTGGTTTTATATTGCGTGTGGCTTCTAACTTGATTGAGTTCTTGGTATGAATAATTATTATGATTCTTAGTGAGTTTTCATAAAATTAGTTCTTCAATTCTTACTTTCAAATTAATCAAATTAGTGTTTTCAAAGTTAAATCTTTCGGTTGACTACATTGACGTTGGAAATCAACTGAGATTAATTGTAATTGCATAAAAATAGATATTTGTTGAACATGAATAGATCCATTGAGATAAATTGTAATTGCATAAACATAATCTTACCTTTTTCACTCTATCCTCTCTCTGTCAGTGTAACTGATCGAATCTATCTGAATTCAATAGGACCTTGAGAAATTGATCAATGCCGATGGATCAAGCCGAGCTGACAACAGAACAGGTACATACTTATGTTCACACTCATACATATATTCAATTCTAGGATTAATTTGGTATTTAATTTTTAAATTCAGATCACTTCTTAATTTCATATGTAATCTGTTTTTTCTATTTGGACTTGGATTTAATTTTTTGGATCCATAAAACTTCTGTTAGTTAGAGTTAGCACAAGGGTAAAAAATTCTTTGAGCAATGGAGAATTTTAATTCATTAAGAGGAGGGAGTTAATCAAGCAATTTTCACTAAGTCATTGAGCATATGTTACCCAGATAGTGTGAATAGAACGGAAATCTAAATATTTCTAGTTATTCAGGACTGGCTTGCTTGCTTCTTGAAACGCTGGCCCCAATCGCAGATAGAAAGTCACATCTTGTTTGCAATCCGCATTAAGTATTTATCCTGAGCAGTTTGAGGGAAGAATTTGCATAACTGACTCCATATGGCTCGTGAATGATTTTGTTGATTTACTTCAAAGCCTTGTTATTCACTTGAACTGAGATATATTATCTAAAATCTTTTAAATAACAAAAAAGTAACAGTAGAAAATGCTGCCATTCGTCTCAATTGGACTCTGTTTACTGGATGTATCCTTGCCTTGTTTTTCAGGTGTCACTGTTACTACTAAAAGAGGGCAAAGTTTATAAAATACAATTTATTAAAATCTTTGATGTTGTACAATTGGAAAACAATAAAAGTAATGGTTGATGCATGTCCCATGTCCACATCATCACATCAGATGAAAATCTGATTATGTTCGTAGAACTTATTCAAACTGTACTTTCTCCATTCTTGACAAAGAGAAGCCCTCTTACTCTCTGGGATCTTTAATAAATTGGCTAAGAACTTAGAGTTTTGGAGACTAACACTTTGGAACTTCTATATTTATCACCACAACTAAAAGTATCAAATATTGTCTTTGACATTGTTGGAATCTGAGGTATTGTTTTCTGTAGTATAGATGGAGTGTTTTATAGTGACCATGTTGGATGGAACTCAGTGAAAGTTATGATTATGCGATAAATTGGTGCCCCACATAGGAACCCAAACTCCGTATTGAAATACATCGTCACAGCTATGTTCGAAAGTGCTGTTGAGGTGCTCTCAATCTCATGGGAAATTTGTAATTAATTCCTCTCCAAATCTCATGCTTGTGCTTTTCATTACTCTATGATCTACTCACATACGACCTAAGCACATCCTCAACACTATTGGATGTCTAAGTAAGGAAGTGTGGCTTGCTCATGCAAAAAATATTCAGGTAGTTAGGATTTTGAAAAAAATATTCATTACTGTGCACAATTTACCATTTGGTTGATATATTCATGGGCTGACATAACTTATATAAATTCGTTGAGAGTAACATGGATTCTACATCTTAGCACCATTCTATTTATAGAATCAACTTTTTTGCTAAGTTTAGTTCATAAATACTGTATCCTCATTGGTAAGTGGTGACTTGCAGAATCTTTGTGTAGTCAATTTGTTAGGCCATTAGTAATATTGAATCATTAATGAGGTTAACTAATTATATTTTTTGGTATGTTCAAGGTTCTGAAGAGGGATATTCCATGGGAGACGTATATGACAACTAAGCTGATCACAGGAACAGGCCTTCAGCTGTTAAGGCGTTATGATAAAAAGGCCGAAAGTTACAGAGCTCAACTGCTGGATGATGTAATGTTTTACTTTTTTTTTTCTTCCGTAATCCTGAGCTGAACAGAAGTTTCTATCTACTTCTAAACAAATTTGAGATTCCATATCCCTTCTCCTTCTTTTATTATTACAGACAGAAATGATCTATTCTATGTTATTAGAACTTCAGTTTTTATTAATGTCAAAATATTTGGCCACGTTGTTAAAGCAGAAAATGTTAAATTAAACTCCATCTTATATGAGTGCTACAAGTATTCAATGCATATGATGGATGTTGGTTGGTTTTAACAGAGTCGGGACTTTAGTTTGTGGATAAGTTTAGGAAGAAGAAAATTCAATTCCATCTTAAGTACACTTACCATGTTAAATTTGGTTAATCTTCGACGGAAGATATCTTCTGTTTCACTTGACACTCAACTGTCACTTACTGATGTTTTGATGCTTCAGTTCTCATCATTCTTTTAGTATGTTCGCTTTTACCATATTCACTTGTTACTAATGTGTGACAAATTAAAATTTTTCGTTCCTTCAGTCAGTACCCTTCTGTTATCAATCGTCTACACGTTTGATTGGTACAATTTAATTTATTTGGTAGGTAACTATTTTGTTCATATGCCATATTTCTTTTTGATTACTGGAATTTCAGCTGTTCGTGAATAAATAAACATTTTCAGTTTGGGATTATTCTTTAGTCTTGATGCACTATGCACATAAGAATTGGGTCAAATTATGTAAGTTTCTATAGTTTTCCCTATCTAAAGTTAGATTATTGGTGTAGTTGCTAGAATGCTCTTCTGCTCCAACTTACATGTCCTAGATATTCTAATTACCATGGCTTATAGACAAGGAGGATTATACTTTGTCTGGGGCAGTTTTTCTTGCTGGATTGTTCATCTATTTTAACATTAACTTCTTTTATTCGGTAATCTCAGTTTTCCATCAGCACTTTTAGCACTTTGCACTGCCAGTGCTCAAATAGGATGCTAGATGAGATATTTTACTGACTGGGGAGTGAATGAATTAACTTGATTGAACTTTTATCCAAGTTGACAAGTGGAAGCAACTATTACAGGATGGTCCAGCTTACGTGCATGTGTTCGTTAGCATCTTACGTGACATATTCAAGGAAGAAACAGTAGAATATGTTCTTTCTTTAATAGATGAAATGCTTACAGGTAATTGGGAAAGGAATTTTAACCTTTTTATACTGTGAAATTTTGTTAACTGACTATTGTTCATTCCCTTGTAGCAAACCCTAAAAGGGCCAGATTATTCCATGACAAGTCTATTGCAAATGAAGATACATATGAACCTTTCCTTAGGTGAGGGTTCTTAAAAAATCTCCGAATTTTAAGTTTGTGACCTGCTGCTATATTACATGGACTATGGCCTGCTATATTACATGGACTATTTGGAATAGATCAAGTAACCATGTCGGACACTCAGCATCTAGGTAATGGTATGGGATATGTGTCCGACACTTCTATGTTCCTATTGGATATGCACCTGGCAAGTATATCCCTCGTTTCTTTTTTTTTTTTTTTAAATTTTTTTATATCTAATTGACTTCAATAGTCATAATTTTTATTGGTTACATGATTGCTTCAAAGTGTGCAAAGTTCCTATTCTGAACATCAGGCTACAGAACACACCATTTTATCCCATGAAGTAATGAGTAATATTAAAAAATATGAATGTTTTGTCATTTAGTGTTATTTGATTTGACATTAGATGAATCAGACACATCCTCCCATCCAAGCTTTGTACCCGAGGCCATGTAACATAGGTTGTATGTATCTTGATGCAAGGAAATATCTTGCTCTTTTAGGATACCATTTTTCCTTAGGTTAATCTCCCTCTCTCTCTCTCTCAGACACAAAACATTGGAACCAAATAAACAAGCTTCCTGATTATGTCTTTTGGTCCAGGAAGCAGAAGCATCTCTGGACATTCACATGTTTGAACTTTTTTGGTATGATGTTTATGTCTAAATGAAAACAATGCCGTCTTACAACCATTGCATTTAATCAATTCAAACTTAGAGAGACAAGGAGAGAAAATTGGAGATGTTGTCTTATGTGACATCATGTGTCTTCCAAAGACTGGGTGCGTCCACCGGTTTGAATACTTATTCTCTGTCTCTTTGGAGTTTTTCCTTGAATTTTGGTTTAAGGACTTTTTTATCTCATTATTTCATTGTCAAGTTGAGTGATGTTTGAAACTTTAAATGGTAGATTCAACGGGTATCTTATTAAGGACCATTTGATCCTTGATATGATATAAATAACTGTAACTTTACTCTATCTCATCATATATACAAATTCATTCCCTTATTTTAAAGGGGGCTTGGCATGCTTGTGTAGTGTGTGCTTTCCGTACCAGCAATGTCCGTGCTTAACTTCCCATAGGCTTCAATTGTGATTTTAGCTTCTGACGTCCTTGTCTAATATCTTTCCTTTTTAGCCTTTTTTTTAATCACAAAAGTTGACTAGTCTGGCCCTTTTTATAGGAAGACTCCAATGCTTTGGTGAAATATTTGTTGGTTTGGATTCTGAATATTTAAGTTGGTCCCCAATTCTGAATCGGCAGGATTAACCTTATGCATGGTGGTATTATCTTTCTATGCCCAATTCTTTATTTTGGAGCATAATTGGCAATCCTAAGTGGCACTTCTGGTCAAACTGTATTTATATACAATTCCATTTATGCTTGTGTTACCATGTCTACTGAGTAACTTAGTTAAATGCTGTACATTGAGTTGTTGGAGTTGTCCAATTGTCCTGGAATTACCAACTAGTTGTTAAAAATATTAACCTATCTGCTCTTGAAGGAGCTTATGGTTACTTGCATCACGCAGTCAACAATGGGAGTTCCTGTGCATCTGGAAACCTATGTTGCAAATAAGAAGTTATTTTCTTGGAATTCTCTGTGTCAGTTTGGTTCAACTACATCTTATATTTATTGTAATAACCCTTTTTATCTTAATATTTAAGTACTTGTGGTACATGATCTCTTGTATGTCTTTTGGTGGAATCGTCATGGAGTAAATGACGTATGTAATTGATTGAATTAACCTTATGCTCTTTAAATCAATCAAAGCTATATAGTCCACCATGTTTTTTTTTTTTGCTTTCAGATTGCTTTGGAAAGGTAACTGGCTTATACAAGAAAAGAGCTGTAAGATTCTCTCTCTAATAGTAAGGTACTTAATCGTGCTCCATCTCACAGATAGTTCAAAGTTTTAAGGGGAAACATAATGGATTTGTATGGCTTACTTTTAGTTAATCTGCTGAGAACAAGGCTCCGCCTAACCAATGGATTTAAATTTATCATCTGTATTTGATAATTTCAGTGCGAGGCCGAAAGTTCAGGATGGTGTCACTACAAATGGAGCAACCTCAGATTCAAAGAAGAAATCCACGGCAATTGATGAAGTTTTGAAAGGACTGGTTGAATGGCTCCGTGCTCAGGTTTGTATATAGTTCTTCATTATATTCTACTTTATATTTTTTGGGTAAGTTGAATAAATATGTTTTTGGTTGATCATTTGGTATTTGTTGCTCGCACATGGGTTTTGGCCATATTCTTTTGCCCTTTCCAATGAATACTGCCCTTGTGACTGTCACTGGTGTCATTTTTGGAAAATTAAGCGCCTCGGTTGTTAGACACATTGATGGGGATCGTATAGGAATTGGATAGATATAATAGATTAATTATGATAGTTGTTTAGATACTTTTAATATTTATCGTTTAAGTAATTTCTTTTAACTTTTAAAGGTTTAATTGTCATTTTGATTATTTATTTATTTTAGAGTTTGTGATCTCTTCATATATATAGGATTTGTGAACTCTTTATATATATAGGGGATATATATTTGTTGTGAGATTAGACTTTGATTATTATTGATTATTGATATTGAATCCTTCTTCCTTCAAATTCTCTCTGTTCTCATCCCCTTTTTCTTCCCTTCTCATCTCTAATTCTTTCTTAATACGATCTACATCAATTTGGTATTAGAGCTCAACTTCGATTTGGGGGGAAAAAAAAAGTTATTGTTCATCGCACTGTTCACGCGTGCAATGTTCATCCGAAATCACTGTTCATCAGTGGAAAAAAAAAAAAAACAGAGCCAGCCAGCAAAAAAAAAAAAAAAAAAAAGAGAAGATCACAAGGTTAATTTGTGGGTCATCGGCAAACCGAATGCTATCTTGTGTTTGTCTGGCCATTCAAGTGGAATTGATTCAGTCAGCTTTGATTCTTCAAGAGTGTTGGTAGCTACAGGAGCAGCAAGTGGTATAATCAAGTTTTGGGATTTTGAGGTGGCAAAGATAGTTCGCAACCTCACTGGTCATCGATCCATCTTCTTCGCCATCTTCTGTTGTTGATCTCTTGCCCTCTGTGCTGCCTCCATATTTGACATTACAGAGGCTAGGGTTTGGATTTTAAATTGCTAGATTGAGATCTATTTTGTTGGATTAAGTTTGACCATTATATTTTGGTTAATTTCTTGACCCACTATACAGGGCTTATGGGGTTAATCCTTGACCCAAGGTCTGGGTTATTCATTGACCCAAGATCCAAACTATATTTTGTGTCTTTGTCAAACCAAGCAGCGCACCCACTATTGTAACTACAGAATCACCCATAAGTTTCAACAAATTGTAGAAATACCATCAAGAAGCTCCAGAATTGCAGAAACATCCTTAGCAGATTCAAAAAATTACAGAAATATCACCCCAGAAGTTCCAAAAGTTGCAGAATCATCCTCGAAAAGTTTCAGATTTTTCTCTTGATTATGGTATGCATACTCCCATGGAATTTGAGGCTAATATTTTTATTCATTGAAAAATTAGAGAATTTGCAAAGTCTATCAAAACAAATAACAGATTTTCTTCTATTTAAGTTTTCTCACTTGTAATTATCAATTGCATTCTTGAATGTGTTCTTATACCATTCTCATCTTTCAAGAGTCACTCATGAGTTTCTCTAATGCACATGTTTCAAGAGCCTCTCGTCGAGGTCATCATCATAGGAAGTCTAGGGATGTTTACATAGAGTCAACCCATACAACTATACTAGACAAAGATCCTTCTATATTTAGTGGCACTTTAGATCCAAATCAATTCTTGGATTGGTTAGCTAATTTAGAAGAATATTTTGATTGGCATAGTATGTCAGATTCTCATTGCGTTCGTTTTGCTAAATTGATGTTGGAGGATTTTGTCAAGAAGTATTGACAAACAATCCAAAGAAGCTTAGACCCCTTAGAAGAATCACCTATCACTTGAGTTGAAATGAGATATAAATTGAAAGAGAAGTATTTGCCTACTTCCTATATGGATTAAATTTATGACCAATGACTCAATCTTAGACAACATTCTTCTAGTGTCTCTGATTACTTTGTCCAGTTTGATTATCTCATGTACTTGTGTGACATTGTTGAAGAACCTTGGACAATTGATCCGTATATTCTTGGGTTGAGATAAAAAATTAATATGGAGGTCAAACAATACCCTTTTAATACGTTAGTTGTAGCCTATCAATATGCTCTAAAGGTTGAGAAATTTCATAAGAAATCTAACTATAACTTGATGGATTTTCAATCACAGCCTACTGGTAGGACATCTTCCAATTCTAATTCTATCACATATGAGTATCATGATTACTTGAATTATGTCCATGTTGTTTTTGCATGTTTTCCTAATTCCAGGGTGACTATGGATTTGGATGACACACTCTCCCATACAAAAAAATATATTACTCATGTCGACTACCAATCCCCTTGTTCGATTTCATCAGATCAGAGCTCACCTCCTTCATACCAACAAAAGTCAATACCTGAAGAAAATGAGTTTGAGCCTTTGTCAGAGTCAAAAGTTGAGTCTCCACTTGTAATGGAACTTGCTGAAAAGTCTGTCGAGTCCACACTTATGAAAGATGTCAAGCACATTGAGTTACCTATTTTAGAATCTTTTGGTGATTATTTCAAGTCAATCTAACTTTGTTTTCAAGTCTTTCCTCTCTGAAATATTTGATTTTATTCCTACTATTAAAATTTCACTTGAGTTGGTACTTAATTATTTTCAACACCAAGGTGTCAATGTTACTCCTTTGTCATCGATATCTTGTCCCATTGAATAATTTTTGTTGAAACCTAATGAAAATTATTTTTCTATTCTCGAGTTTGGATCTAATGCTTATTTGCTTAATTTTACATTGAATGTTAGTATTAGTCCAGATTTTTATTTGGATGACATGCTACTTAATCGAGGTACTCCAGAGCCTCCTATTTTATTATCCAGTGTTTCTACAGGTGGAATTGCTTCTTCCTCAGCTTTAGCTCCAGTTCTTATCTTTCCACTTCCATCACGTATTTCGAGGCAAATAGATGATGTGTTACGTGACCAGATTTACATTGTTACAGATGGAGATTCTTGCATTTATTCTGATCGATGGAAATATATTGATGGTTCTTTCATTCTAGATGAGATATTATGTCATCTTCATCCTGCTCTCTTGGGGTATTTCTACTTTAAACATTCTCCGGATGAGAGTTTGTTTCAACCGGAGGAGAATGATGGGGATCGTGTAGGAATTGGATAGATATGATAGATTAATTATGATAGTTATTTAAATACTTTTAATATTTATCATTTAAGTACTTTCTTTTAACTTTTAAGGCTTTAGTTGTCATTTTGATTATTTATTTATTTTAGAGTTTCTGATCTTCTTATATATATAGGATTTGTGAATTCCTTATATATATAGGGGATACATATTTGTTGTGAGATTAGACTTTGATTATTATTGATTATTGATATTGAATCCTTCTTCCTTCAAATTTTTTTTGTTCTCATCCGCTTCTTCTTCTTTTCTCATCCCCATCTTCTCCCGTTCTCATCCCTTATTCTTTCTTAATACGATCTACATCACACATTCTAGTATCTCAAACTCCCATGTAGACTTAGCTCTTTACTGGATAGTTGCTTCTGTTCCTATATTTGTTGTCCTCATTTTTATTTTTAAATGTCCCCAAAATATTGTCTTTGTCAATAAGTCAAAGGCTATTCATTAGTTATTCTTTTCCAAATAGAACCTTTAATGTTCAAAATGCCAAAAGGAAAGACAAGGAAGGAAAAAAAAAATGTAAAACTTAGCCCAAGTCCCCCAAAAATTGTTAACTCTCCCACTCTCTCTCTTTCTCTCTCTCTCTCTCTCTCACTCTCTCTGATGTCCTATCAATGATTTCCATGATGAGTGAATTTGTCTTTTCTTTGACCTTAGATGAGAATGATTTGTGGGAATCTATTGTGTCCTCGAGGAATTCTCATGGCCTGCTCATATTTGTTGAATTGTAGTTGTGTATTGTTTAAATGTGAATGCTCATGCTTGATTTTGTCACTACATGCTTGATTTCAGAATTAAAGCATTACTTTTACTCCAATTTAGCATACATTCATTGAACTTGTCTTTTTTTTTTTTCTCCTCTACAATTCTTATATACATAGATGGCATTACCTTTGGTTCGTACATTGGCAGAATTCTTGTAGTGTCCATGCAACACTATGGAATACAAATACAACATCGAATGCAAATTATTCAAGAACCTAGGTAACAAAAAGAGCTATTCTGTTATTCAACTAGATGATTATGTCCTGTGTAGCTCATTGGCCAAGCCCTTGGGCTTGAAGTGGGAAAGGGGTTTGTGGGTGTGGGTCTTAGGCTTGTGTATGAGGATTAATGTTCTTGCATGTTGAAAGTTCATACTTTGAAATTATGTTTCTGTCTTTGGTCTTTTGAGCTAGCTCCGTCAATATACATGCTTGTCCACTATTGGCTGTAATATGATGTTCTTATCTTTTAGGTAAGTTACACCTCCTTGGTGTGTTGTTTTTATTGACACTTTGGGTGAGGACTTACCTTTTCATTTCCCCCCAAAAATTGGATACCATCAATGGAATCTTGCACTATTGCACCTCTTTTTGTTTCTAAGCGAGATCAGTAGATAGTTACTGATAATGAAGTGACCTCCAATGTGAACAGGAGCTGACAAGTATTTGAGAATTAGCAATGCATAAGACAAAGTTGCTTACTAGTAGCTAATAAAAAATGAGCTCCGAGGAGATTAGCTAGTTATAATCTAAAAGCTTGGATAGTACTCGAATAACCATATTAAAGATTGCAAAATATCACAATTCTCCAAATCCATTTGCTTCTTGGTAGCTCCTTCCTTGGAATATCAACTCATCATTTTTCATATTTGAAATTGGTCTTCTTTAGGATTCTCTGTCATGCCCCCAGTGTTATTTAAGGCGTAAAGCAAACTGAAGCGACCAAGGTTTCTAACGTCTAGGTAAGAAGCGAAGCGAACAATTAAAAAAATAAATAAATATTTTAGTTTAATTACTTATACATATCTAAGTTCTAATTTTATATATACTAAATATTTAAATACAAGTAAAACCATAAACATTTAAATTAAAACAAACACTAATAATATCTCAAATTTTAATAACAGTCATAGCTTAAACATTTAAATTCAAACAAACACTAATAATATCCCAAATGTGTTTTTGTTAAAGTATATAAATCAACCACAACTGTTTTTGTAAATCTATTTTTATCTACATTCGTAGGCTTATACACATGTACTGAATCACATTTCAGGACAGCAAAACAAAACAACAAAACATCAAAATCAGAATCAGGGCACAATCAAAAGCACAATCAGGAAGCACAGTCAAAACAGTACACTCCAATTTCGCTTACAATCAAAAGCACAATCAGGAAATCAGGGAAAAAAAAAAAGGAGACTAACCTGCGCAGCGAGGAAGGAGACTTTGTCTAGGAAGGAGATTGTGTAGGAGCAGAATCAGAATCAAAATCAAGAAAAAAAAAAAGAGTAGTGAGGAAGCGAGGAAGAAGATCTAGAACCAGAAAAGAGAAGGAAAAAAAAAAAGAGACTAACCTGTGTAGCGAGGAAGAAGACTTTGTAGGAGCAGAATCAGAATTAGTAGGACTAGAATCAGAATTAGGAAAAAAAAAAGAAAGAAAGGAGCAGCGATGAAGAAAAAAAGAGAAATAGAAGAGATAAAAAAATAAAAAAAGGACTAACCTGTGCAAAGATTAGTGAGGAAGGAGACTCTGTCTAGCCTCCAGCGTGAGCAGCGAGCAGCGACAGAGAGTCGATCGTCTCTATCGATCGAGTCTAGCGATCGTATGTAGGAGTCCAGCCTTAGCAACAACCAGTGAAAAATTTGATTTAAATTAGGGTTTGGTTTGTATTTATTGGATAAGGGGATAATTTGGTGTATCACATCTTATAATGTTTTTTCAATCGCCCAATCCAACGGTCCAAATTAGAAATAAAATAATTTTGCTTCTCATAACAAAAGCGGTCGCTTTTTCGCCTTGTGCTTAAGCGCTAGGCCAACACTTTTTTCGTTTTTTTCTCGCTTCGCTCACGTTCGCTTTGCCTAGGGTTCTCCAGGCGAGATAGCCTCGCCTTGTCTCGCTTCTTGCCTAGACGCGTTTTTCAAAATACTGCATGCCCCTTTTTTTTTTAAATAATTGGGTGTGATTAACAAATAAACCATCTATAACCCATAATTACCTTCCTTATATTATTATTAGACTATTAAGATTTATCCTGGATAAGGTTACATCTTTGAGCTAATATATATATATATATATATATATATATATATACATATAATCAAAACATTATCAATTAAAACTTTTTGGTACAGTATAAAGAACATAACAATGGTAGCTTCTAATTACGACCTTCCCAGCTTACTCCTATGAATTCAATCGTGTTTCTGAAAAAATATATATTAGGGATAAGTTCACTAGGCCAATTGGATAACTTTTATCAATAACTATCAAAATTTTAAAACTACATAAATATAATCAAATAACAAATAAGTGCAGCAATAGGTAAAATAAAAAATCACAAGAATGCAACACATATCGACAATCATAATTTGTCAATTTTCTGATCCATGCATGAACTATATCTGAAGAAAACATTAGGGTCTTGCACCCTAAGGAACCGATGTCCTTTTTCTTTTTGGGAACACAAATACTAGGAATTTTGTGGTGCCCCACAAGTTGCCAACAACAATCGATATTGCTAACCAATAATAAACCCAAGAACTAGTAGGAATAAAAAGCCAAACATTAAATAATTATGTCAGAATAAAATTCATAGCATTTTATATGCAAATTGGGTCCAAAAGATAACTAGGGTTTCGATCTAAAAATATCAAATGTACGGGAACCACGATTTATTGGTAAAAACTCAAATTCGACCCCATGAATAATGCAAATTAATATTTAGTGTTATAAAATCAACATTGGTTTAATATAGAACCCTCTAATATGCATGAGATGTATCAACGAGGTTAAAAGATAAAAAAATTCTACCTTTGAAGTTATCTCGAATCGATACCATATATTGTGGCAAAACAAAACTGTAATATTTTAGAATAAAACTAAGTAATAATGACCTAGTTAAAGCAAAAATAATTTTTGGAGTGAATAACAAAAAAAAACAAGGCCCTATTTTGATCCAAAAATATTTAACAAGGATCAAATTAATAATTGTTTGCCAAATCAACCCATAAAATTATTAAATCATAATACAAAAATTTTACGTAATTTTTTGCTTGTAGAGACGAGCTCATATGTGGACAAAATTTTAACACTTTCCTTCCGTGTTCTCCCTCTCCCTTCCCCCACTCTCTCTTTCTCTCTCTCTCTGTCCTCTTCTTTTCCACAGTGGGCAAAATTGCTATTTCAACCTCCTTGTCTCATGTCACATGGATGTTGACCTTGCCAATCCATGCTTTGTCCATGTATTTGTTTTTTTTATTTTTTGGTTAAAACCACACGTCACCTATAGTTTCAATGTGTCATTTAAGTATAACACGCCTTCTTTAACTCTTAATGACTTGACACCTATATTTCTTTTATTTTTTTGTTCTAAATGTTACATACTTTTACCTAATCACATAATTCGAAAACTTTGGATGTTTAACACGCCATTTTTTTCAATTTTTAACATACTTAATATTATAGTCATTGAACTTGTTTTTACGTAAGGAATCCATATTTGAGATTCATTTACTTATTTGAACTTTCAAAAAATAACTCCGTGCTAATATAGAATAATAATTAATGCTCTAATTAGCGACTAATTTTTATATTGTCGTCACATTCTTCCAATTTTCATTATTCCCCCTACCCCCGATAGTCAGAGAAAACTTGAACTCTGAGTTTTGAATGTCGATACTGTAATAATTTCAATGAATTCTAATGATACACACTGCCATAATATGACAACACTTTCTCTTATGCAGGGGGATGGAGGGATATGCATGGGGTGAGGTGACAAGGGGAGGGAACTTTTGGGTAGTCATTTTCCATCTTCTCCTTTGCTTTCACCTTTGGACCTGAGGATGTTAAGTCTAAGGACAGAGGGAAAGAGTTCTATTCATCTCAATTAGAAAGTTCTAACGATGGAATTTGTGAGCGAGATAATCTTTTAATGCAGAATTGTTATTGGTGCCTTGAAAAGAGAGTAAGGTTTGGAAAATAGGTGAGGTAATGGAGAGGATTTTAGAGGTGTGAATTTGAAGGATAAATCATTGAAGAGGGAGCTGATGTTTTTAATGGGATAGTTGGATTAGATTTAGATATTTTCAGACTAAAATGGATTTGTCTTTGGTTTCTACTAAAATAAAAATAAAAAGATTAACAAAGGAAGGGAGGGAGGAGTAGGAGATTGAGATAACCATAAATCGACATGGGAGAATGAATAGGTCTTGAGCTCAAACAATGGATTATTAAATTTCACAAGACCTAATTCCACAAAATGCTAAAACACATGCAAATAGATTAATTAGACATTACCATCGAGAGTAAAAATCACATGTGCATGTAATAGAGATACAAGCAAGAGAGGCATACCGATTGATAACGTTGAAAACATGAACTCGTAGACCCTGTTGGCCTTGTTACTATATAGACTCTTGGCTAGGGCAGCTGTTGGTTGATGGAAGTGACGAAAATGAAGACATGGGTGGTAGCAAAGATGAACTCACAAAGAGGTGGTTTATCGAGAGTTGTGTGGTGTGGGTGATGGGTTTAGAAGAAGTGAAAGCAGCGGAGATACAAGTGAGTTCGATAGAATCAAAGAGGACTTCGATGTTGAAAAAGTGGGTTCAGATGTTGCGAACCATATACATCACACATTGGAGATGGAGGTGGGTATCTTTGATGTTACTTTTCCTTTTGGATCTGAGAGAGCCAAGACTTTGAATCGAGTGTAAAAAGGAGCTTTGATTACAGTATGCAAGAAAAGGGCTATAGCTTGCATATAATGGAGATTAGTCATGATGTTGGGAAGCTCTTTGAAGGTTTGAGCTATCGGAGTGATAGGAAGAATGGAACAATTGATGGCAACATTGGATATGATGGGCCAAAAGTTGATTATGATCTTGGGAAGCTCTTTGAAGGTTTAGGCTATTGGAGTGACGAGAAGAATGGTATAGTTGATGGCAATATTGGAGATAATGGCCCTAAAGCTGCCCTTGAGGTATGTCCTATTGTTGAGTTGATTCCTTTTGTGCATCCCTACACCCTAAAAGTGCATTGTAAACCTCAGATTTCTTCAGTGTTGGGTAATTATGAGGGAGGGTTGTTTTCTAGTGTTGTGGGTGAGTCTGAGGAAGGGTTTTTCGATCCAATTATGGGTGATTACGGGAAATGGGAGGTATATTCCTAATTTGGTTTCTTCTCAGGGGGGTTGAGTCTACGGTAGGGCACTTCAGTGTCTACTTTAAAATGTGGGGGAGCGGAGGGTATCTTGGGTGTCTATGCGTTTAGGGAATGACCTAGTTGTCTATGCTAGAAATAGTTTTTTGGGTTCATTGGAAACTCCAATTTTATGATTTGAGGTTGAACCAAAGTTGGGGACTGATGAGCTAAATTTGTGTAAAGATAGTGGAGGTTCCATAGTTAATTTTGTTTTAGGGAGTCCTACAGTCATTGCTAATGGGCTATAGTTTGCTATGGTGATGATGGGAACAAAATGACATTTGAGGGAGATGAAGAGAGTGGTGAGAATATGGAAGGAGATGATAGATTTTTTGTGTCTAATGGGGATAAATGGTTCTCCAAATTTTTCTTGGAAAAATGGATTTTTTATTAGTTCCAACCAAAAAAAGGGTGAGATTAAGGGTGGGTGGGAGAAACGTGAGAAAGAGAAAAGGGGTACAAAAATTAAAAATTTACAGTCTCGAATTAAGTATGATGGGGGGAATTCCAGGAAGGTAGATGAGGGAGCCTTGGTTTTGTTGTGAAGACTCTTAGTTAGAATGTTAGGGGGTTAGGGTGAAATAGGAAAATATGTTTTCAATAAAAGAAGTTCTTGTGAGAGTGAGTCAAGATGTTGTGATATTACAAGAGTCTAAATTGGAGGTTGTTGATAGGAGGATCATTAATAGTTCATAGGGGTCTAGATATAGGAACTGGATCTATTTACCTTTTGTGGGGAGTTCGGCTAGTATTGTTATTATGTGGGATGAAATGTTTGTTGTTATGGAAGAGTCAATTGAAGGTGAGTTTACAATTTCAGTTAGAGTCCGAGAAAGGGATGGCCTTGATTTGTGGGTAACGAAAGTATATGGACCTAATAAACCTAGGATTAGAATGCGGTTATAGGAGGAGTTGGAGGGTTTGTTTGGGGTATGCAGTTCTCAAGGAGAATTTTTTTTTTTTGTGTGTGGGGGGGGGGGGGGGGAATAGAGAGGGG